CTTTAGGTTTCAGCAGTGCAGGTGGTGAGCCTGATGTCCGCGTTTCCATGGGGGAGTCTTGGCCAGAGGCAGTTTTCCTCACTGGGATGTGATGGTTTGGACCTTGACTGCAGGCAGACGTCCCACCCCTTCTCTTCTTGCTTTCCCACCATCCCTAAACATCAACAAGCCTGGTATTTTCTTCTCCCAGCAGCTTGTGCTACCTGTTCTTCTTTGGTGTCGATTCACTAAGATGATGAGGGGACTGGAGCATCTACCATATGAGGAAGGGCTGAGAGAACTGGATCTGTTTAGGCTAGAGAAGAGGAGGCTGAGGGGGCAACTCATCAATCCATAGAAATATCTAAAGGGGGGGTGTCAGAAGGATGGGTCCAGACCTGCTCCCCACATGTGTTCCTCTACCCTAGGCTCCTGCGTGCTGCCATCCTGCCCCTCAAACGCATCTATGGCATCAAGATGCAGGTGTGCGGCTCTGAGCACCTCAACATCAAGGAGCCCTATGTGATAGTTTGCAACCACCAAGCTTCTCTTGACCTCATGGGTAAGTGCAAGGGAGAGGGAGGGGCTCATCACAGCATGGGCAGCCTTTGAGGTGCTGCGGGGCTCGGCCAGGCTCACCCCGGGGAGTCCCAGCAAGGCCAGCACCAGGGTCTGTGCAGGGCAGTGTGGGAAGCAAAGGCCAGAGGAGCTGGTGGGACAGGACCTCAGGGATGCAGAGAGAGGGTTTGGGCAACAAAAGACGGTTGCAGGTCACTACAGCCACAGGGCTGGTTGGCTCTGGGTGCCAAGGAGCAGGGGCAGACTCTTTTCTCTCCCATCCATCCTCCAGGCATGGTGGAGGTGATTCCTGACCGCTGCGTGCCCATCGCCAAGAAGGAGCTCATGTACATGGGCACCGTGGGGTGGGCCTGCTGGCTCAGTGGCATCATCTTCATCGACCGTCACAAAAGAGAAGACGCAATTGATGTCATCTCCCAGACGGCCAGGACCATGCGGCGTGAAAATGTGAGGGGGGGGCTGGCAACAGGGGGGAGTCGGGGAGCAGACACCGGTGGGGCAAGTGGGGTGTGAGGAGGACACAGCAGGTCCCAGGGTGCTCTGGTCAGGGTCCATACTCACGTGCTCTCCCTGTGCTGTGCAGCTCCGAGTGTTGATATTCCCTGAAGGCACCAGGAACCAGGAGAAATCCATGCTGCCCTTCAAGCGTGGGGCCTTCCACTTGGCCGTGCAGGCTCAGGTAAGGCCATCCTCCTCCTCCTCTTGCTCTTGATGAAGTGGGGTGGATGTGCACCCTGGGGCAGCAGGATGGGGGACATTAGGGTCGTTTGGGGTCTGCAGCCCCCAAGGACAGGCACTGTGCTGTGCAGGACCAGGGGGGCATAGAGACCTTCTGAAGCCTGGGATGTGGCAGGAGCGGGAATCCCACCTGGAGAGGGGGTCTGTATGGAGGACACTCCTGACTCTCCATGTCCTACAGGTTCCCATTTTCCCCATGGTGATTGCCCAGTACCGGGACTTCTTCAGCTCCAAGGACAAGAAATTCACCTCTGGTAAGTGATGGAGAAGAAGCTCTGTTGTCAGAAGATGGTGACTATGAGGCACCTGGAGCTTGGAGGTCTCTTTATGGGACACTGAAGTGTGGGGAGGCAGCTGGTGGTGGAGGATGCTGGTGGGAAGACCTGGTTCCTGGTGGGTTTGTCTAAGAGCATCACTGGACTTTCTCTTCTCTCTCCAGGGACGTGCACCATCCGAATCCTCCCCAAGGTGGAAACTCAGGGCCTGACCCCAAAAGATGTCCCTAAACTGACAGAGACTGTCCGCCAGACCATGGCTGATACTCTCATCGAGATGTCCTCAAATCACCGTGGGGACCAGTGCGCTGAGCAGCCTCCACTCCTGCATGGGGCCGGGGCTGGCATGGGGATGGGAAATCCGAGGTGCAATTTGGACACAGCCAGGACCAGCAATTAGCCAGAGGGGACAAAAGGCCCTCAGGGACATAAGGAAGGTGGCACAACCAGAGACTGGATCATGTTGTCCACTCATCACCTGCCACCAGCCCCGGCAGCCTGCAGAGCAGGGCAGTGCCCTGCTGCAATGGAAAGCAGAGCAGTGCAGGACCGGGCAGCACCCTAAAAACAGCACAAGGTGTCCCCAGAAACCACCTCGCTATAACTGTGCATCCCCTCCCCAGGGCACTGCTGGGATCCCCCCAGACCTGGCCCTGGACAGCAAGCCCTACCGTGCCTGCACACTGCAGGAGGTGGGGGGGAAGAGACGTGCCAGATGGTTCTGGGGGTGGTCACTGCACCCTTTTCCACTCCCAAGAGTGTGACTCACAGTGGGGATCGCCCTGTGGGTTTCCTGGGTTGCTTCTTCCAGAGGCTCCTGCAAGCAGGCAACGCTGCTCAGATGCAGCCAGCCCTGGGGAGGGGTCTGGGAGGCAGGGGCAGGAGGTTCAGGGGATATCACCATGCGGGAAGAGCATCCTTGATGCTGACCTAAGAGATGAGGGTGCAAGATTAAACAGTCCGTACCCAGTGGTGTGAATGTGTCCCGTGTCCTGCCTGTGCCCGGGGTGCTGTGGGGAGGGGGATTTGTCTCGGGGCCACTCGCGCTGCTTACGTCGCTGTGCATCCCTGTGGACACCACGGGTTCTCCGTGGGGTATGAGGAGCATGTGGCAGGGTGAGATTTCCACTGGGGTGGACTAGGGTAGACTTCTCCCTGCCTCAGGAAGTGCACAAGAAGAGCATCCATCGAAATTCTCAGAGGGCAGAGGTGCCTGGATTACGCCCAGGAGGTACCTCCCTATGGCCTCTGCACCACGGCACAACCAAACTGATCTACCGGCCACCATCTCCCGAGCCTGTTCGCTGCAGCCAGGAAGAGCTTTGGAACAGGCTGCCAAGGGGAAGTCACTCAGGTGGAGTCACCATCCCTGGAGGTATTTAAAAGACGTGTAGATGTGGTGCTCCTGGTTTAGTGGTGGACCTGGCAGTGCTGGGTTAATGTCTGGAGTTGATCCTAAAGATCTTTTCAAACCTAAATGATACTGACTCCTACCCAGACACCCCAGGGTGAGAGCAGGACAGGGAGAAACGCAGTTGCGTGGCTGTCCCCACCACGGGGAGCAGGCTGGGGAGGCTTCACCTCTCATCGTCCGGAGAGATGTGGGAATCGTGGCCAAACGAGGGTGCAGCGCTCTGCTTTGGCATCGTTCCTGCTCTTGGGAGCGGCTGGTTTGTTATGCAAGAAATTCTACAAAATCTTGGCAATCATACAAACCCATCTTCCCTTGGCCATGGACCCCTCAGCATCCTGACTTCACAGAAGAGAGGCTTCCCACGAGGAGCAACTCATCACATCAGGGACTGTCAAGAGCAGCGTGCACGTGAAGGGTCTGGTTTCCCAGACAGCCCCTCCACTCCCTTCCTTCCTGCCGGGACTTCCACCAGCATGAGTGGGGTTTGGCTGCCCACAGCCTTGACCCCAGCAAAGCCTGGGTTTGGTGGTTAAACATTGTCCCAGCTGGGTGGCCACGTTCCAGCCCGAGACCTCGCTGGCTTTTGCTTGCAGCCAGCAGGGAGGTGAAAGCTTGAGGAGAAGCAGAGGATCCAGCACGGGGGCTCTGGGAGCACCTTGCTCCTGCGTGGTTCCCCCAAGCATGAGGCCTGCAGCTGTCCTGCCCTGCCTGCTGCTTTGCATCTCATACCTCACAGCTGGAGCATCTGCAAAGCCGTAAGCCCTCTCGGAGTCTGCCCGACCAGTCCTGGTGGGATGGTGGGTGGTCTTGGGGGTGTGACGATCCTCCCTGTGGCTGTGACTGCTGGTCAGAGTGGAAATGCTCAGGGTGGTGGGCTGTCCCCATAGAGGACTTGGCAACTGGGGCTGGTGTCTCCGGGCTGCTTTGGTGTAGGTGCAACCTCCCACAGAAGCCAGTGGGTGAGCAGAACCTCTGCAGATCGACCCCTCGGCTCTTCTCAAGGTGTTCAGGCAAAGGGGACTCCCCCTGGTCTGTGGGCTGGGCAGATGAGGGAAAAGCCTGGGTGGTGCAGCCCTGCAGAGAGCATCTGTGGCTGGGAAAAAGCCAAGTGCCTCCCGCCTTGAGACTCTGAAGAGGAGGGAAGCACCAGGATTTGGTGGATTTGGGTCTCCGCTATCAAGGTGTCCCCTCCCCAGGCACTATGTGGTGCTCTTCCCTGCCGTGATCTACTACCCATACGTGGGCAAAGTGCACGTCCACCTCATGGACCTGGACGAGCCCGTGAGGGTGAGCCTGCACCTGGAGAGCAGCCAAGAAGCCCCCAACATGACGGTGGAGCAGCAGGGCAGCGGTATCCTCCAGCTCAACTGGCCCCGCTTCACCAACGTGAGTCACGGTCCCATGTCAGGGCTGAGGACCTCGGGGAGAGGCAGCCACCCCCTTCCCACTGCTGGGGGAACCGGGAGGGGACATGGGGCTCCATCCTGGATGGGCAACAAGTGAGCTGAAGAGTGGAGGGACGTGGGACAGGCACAGAAGTCTTGTGGGCTTTATCTGCATTGTCCTCCCACATACACCAGTGCCCTGGAGCCTTCATGGGGCAAGGGGTGTTGACGATGGGGTATGGCAGCCGACATCAAGGCTCTGCAACCATTTCTGTTGTTTTCCCGGGGCAGTTTTCGGCCTTTCCAAAAGGCATGTATGAGCTTGCCAAGATGCACATCTCCATCCAAGGAGGTTCCCTGCAGGTCTATGAAAGCAGGACGGTGCTGGTGGATGCCATGGAGCTGAGGACCTTTGTGCAGGCAGACAAGGATGTCTACAAGCCTGGGGAAACTGGTGAGGGACAGGAGCTGCTGCAAGAGCTGGCAAGCCCTGGGGGTGGGATCCCCAGGACCTAGCGCTCACTCCTGCTCCTGCCTTTGCTCTTTGCAGTGAAGTTTCGTATTCTCCGTTTGGATCACAACTTCATTCCCAGCAACACAGAGGTGAGATGAGGTTGGGGCCGTGGTGGGGGGTACAGAGGCATCAGGTTCCCCAGGCCCCCAAGACAAGTAGTCTCAGCAGCAGTGAGACAGCTGTCAATGTCACCGCGAGCACGGAGGGGATGGGTGAGGGGAGCAAATCCCCCAAAGGACACGGGGTGATGGAGGCTGGGACACGACTCCTCCGAGAACACTCAGCCTGAGTTTCCAGGGTACGGCCCCTCGCTTTTGGCTTTGGCGCAGGGCATGAATTACACCCTCTGCCTGTCTCCTCTCGCCTGTAGCTTTCATGCATCATTATTACACCTACTGGTTTCAAGCTCCTGGTGTTACGCAGCACCGGGAAGCCTAATTGCACAGCTCACACTGCACAGTGCAGCCTCACTGCTCACTTGCTGCTACTTGGAAAAGGAGGGACCCGGGCAAGGACAGCGGCTCTCAGGTTCCCAACTCAGCAACCAGCTCTGGAGGGACCAAGTCCGACCCCATGGGCTCAGCTACAAGCTCAGCTCCCCCCCTCTCTCTGCTTCCATCATGCTAAAGGCTTCC